TACGTGTTGTTACGTTTAGTTACGTTTACTACGTACTATACTACTTCTTCTTACTTCGTTCCTATCGACACGTACGTACGATACTCCTCCTCTCTCTCTCTCTCTCTCTCTCTCTCTCTCTCTGTCTCTCTCCTTTTATTTATTGAAATCTTATGCCCCTTGTCAACATTGTTCTCATTTGCACCCTTTTCTTTCTTTGTAGTTTTCTTTCTACTGTCCCTACCCTTTGTAGTGGCTTGCTCTGCGGACCTTGTGGTTCTACGTCCATATGTAATGGGACCTGTGTTACAGGAGTAAGGATCATAATCTTTAAATTCTTGGTGTTTCTCAATAATGTTTCTTTACATTTTCTCAAATTTCATGTATATTTTATCAGGGCACTGGATTCAAGTGACCTCGTTTTCTTTGGTCATAGAAAGGTTGTGCTTTGATGTATGGACACCTTCCTTCAGTACTTAACCACACTAATTAGGTTCAATATGTAACTTCATGCATGGAATTTCCAGAACATTTGGCGTTGTGGGAATAGTTCCTGTTAGATCCCTTCTAACATGGCAATGACCTTATCACATTTTATGTAGAAGCCTTAATAGTAATGTGCTAAGGAGGTTTACTTGCAAGTGCAAAGATGGAAATGCAAATCCCCCAAATCGGCATCTTAAAAGTTTGTACTCCTTCCACGTATAGCTAGGAAATTTTTTTTGTTGAGATTTTTGTTCACAAAACCTACTCCTTGAAGTTCAGGAAGAAGGCTAAAAACCTCAGAATAGATAAGATTTGCAGAATTCAAGTTAGTTGTTAGAATGTTGATCTGAGAATTACCTTGAGTGTCTCCTTATGAACGTTTAATATGACGGAACTTATGAACGTTTAATATGACGGAAGAGTCAGTAGGTTTTATCAGCATAAGTTCATTTGTTTTCTAGTATGAGGCACTTGCAGTGTACCATTGACTTCAGCTTACTGCCCTGAAAAGTGTGTGCTGTGCTCTAGACCATAGTTGTTAGAGGTAGGAGTGGGTTTGGATACGGGAGCGGTTCATGGAACTCCGAACTGCCATAGGGTGGAAGTTCCCTAGGATTAGGACTGATGTCCATACATTCAACAAGTTAAGGAGCTAGTTCCTAGGATACTTAGGAGCAAGATCCCATGACACTGGGATCGAGGTTTTGACTAGGACGGATTTAAGCCCCACTATACATAATACAAGATCAATCAATAGTATGTGATAAAATTGGGATCGAGCCAACATGATCCATTATCACACCTTAGCTTATTGCCAATCCCATAGTTATAGCACTCCAATTTACTAGAATAATATCATAAATTGGCTTAATATGATATTAAATTGTAGTTTTTTGATATCATACTTGTATAAGACCTCTTAAAGGAACTGCAGGATCGAGTTCCTAATGTGGGACCGTTGCCTTACCATTAAGGTTCTCAAAACTCTAGGAATGTAGATACAAGTTAGGTACAAAAATGGGGACAAAATACTCAAAAAATTGCTGAGATCCCCTAGTTGGAACTGAAAGCTGCTTCCTCTCTAGCAAGAGCATCAGCAGTATTGGCTTCCCTGAAAATGTGCCTCCACGAAACTCGAAGGCCGCTTCCGAGATGAGAAATTTCATCGAAGATGTGATCGAGTCTCTAGGGGTAAGGTGCTGAGCCGGAAGCCCAAGAAATGACGTTTCTAGAATCCCCCTCAACTAACAGCTCAGAGCTCCAGCTAGGGCTGAATTTGGGAAGGCTCTCAGATAGGGCAATGGCCTCAGCAGTGGTGGAGTCCGCAAAACCAATGGGAAGGGAGAAAGAAAGATGTTCGTTACTGTGAAACCAATGGTCTTCCATGTCGCTTTGTCAGATTATATTTCAAAGTGAAAGTTTCTAGGTTTGTTACTTTAATATCCAGAAGAATCAGTGCAATTTGGCTACAAGGTTCTTAATTCAGTGCTACAATTTTTGCTCAACTTGCTTGTAGGGTTTTTGAACTGATAAGGTTTCTTCGTCTCTTGCCTGTATTCATAGTTTCAGATTCCAATAGTGATAAGGGAGATATCAGTATTGAAATATTTGTTTTTTCTTTTCTTTTTTTGTCTTTTTATTTGAGATAACATCCTTAGGTTGAAGAAAACCAATTACATCTAGTTGTTTTGATAGGAGCAGACAAACTTTTAGATGTGCTTGGTATGTTTAAGGGAGCAGGAGAGGGGGGGGCCAACCCTACAGAGCGGCCTGGTCTACCACTACGCACTCATATAAGGGAATCAGCCAGGTCGTTTGCTTCCTCAGCACCTGTTGAAATGTAATCGGTCCATCTTGACAGAGGTCAAGGGCCCATCCTTGACATCGTCTAATCTCCATCGATACGGTCAGTCCCTGGCCCATCTAATGACATTCAAGGAGTCACCTTAAAAAATGAGCACAGCAGTGAATACCTGAAAGAATAATTTGAGCTGTGTGAGGAATGCTTTTGTTTCAGCTGTATTGGCATCCCCAAACCCCATACGACAACGAAAGACAAGCAGGTTGTTGCTCGAATGCTCCCTTATTGCACCCTGAACATTTGAGTGGCACGGATTACCGAAGGAACTCACATCAAAATTTTGTTGATGTTGCGTCCTGGTGGAGCTGTGCATACGAAATGGCTATGCAGGACCCTGCTGCATGCCACATGATTCCATTCCTGAGCGAGGTCAAGGGAAGAGTATCAAGTGGAGCACCTTCCCAACCAAGATCCAAGAAATAATGAAATCTCACGACCATGTTCCAGCTGTATGTACTCTGGAATATTTCCCTTAAAAAATCCTTCCATTCCTCTCAAGCTAGATGCCTCCAAAAAAGGCACTTCGGCTGATAAACCAAGGGTCTTCCCCTTTTGGATGAAGGGACGCCCTTGCCAGCTAGAAAGCATATCATCTACTGAGCATGGAAAAACCCGAAGGACCTAAAAAGGCTCAGAATATAAGACTGCACACCTCTACTGAAGCTGCGATGAAATTGAGATGGTCCACCATCTCTTCAGCATCATCTGTGCACTCTACAGTTTTCCATACATATGCTATAGATATTTTTGAATGTTGTGTCCATTTTGTTTAATGTTAAGATTATTCTTTGGCTGGGGGTCATGTAGTATTAATGTCTTTCACTCTTTCTAATCACAATGAAATATCTGCAATATTATTTGCCTTGATTGGAATTTCTCCGTCTTTGGGTATTACTCAGAATGTTACATTGTTTCTAGAGAGATTTTATCATTGTTTCTAGAGAGATTTTATCGAAAATGCCATACTAGAAATATCTTTAAATTGTTTGCTTCTGTTTGCTTAGTATTATTTATACAGAATGCCTCTTAACCTTCTCTTGTAGGTTGAAAATCTTGATGGGGAGGTTTTGCTCTATTTTTTTAGTATATTGTCTCCATGAAGCCAGCTTTCTTCAATAAGTGAATACTTATGTATGTGATCTGCACATTTTCTTACTGAATCAACAACCCTGCTACTTTGATATTGTCAGGACTTGATGACCTCCGTGATTGGACTAACAATGTCCAGCCTTATATCCCGATTTATGTGACAGCACGTGATTTTGAGGTCTGACTCTTGAGCCCTTAGTATCAAGTAGAAGATTCCATTGACTAAGGTTGAACATGACACTATTATTTCCAAAATGGTCTTCCCTTTCTAAAATGTATGATCTTCATATCCAACGGTTCTTCCTTTGATACCTATTAACTTGTAGAGGTATAGACCTACTAAAAGGTTCTCCATGTAATACTTGTTGATGTGTAAAAATATATGAGGACAAAAATAGGGAAGTATTCATGATGCCTACATGTTTTATGGAACATAAATTGTAATGCACCATGCTTTAAATACCCATTTGGAATATTCCAAGGGCTAAATGAGAGACTAGTTTAATAGATACCCTGTATAATGAATAATGAATACCATAAACAATGATACCTATATTCACACCACCACTCCTATCTTAAGAATGAAAAGCATTTGGTGATTGTCAATGCAAAGTACTGACGGGCTTTTCATCACAACACTGATAATGATCGACTTCACAAGAATTCTATTGGATTCCGGAAGCTCTCATTTCCTCTTCATTAATATTGCCCACTCCTTGATTTCGTTCGAGCAAGATGGGATTGTGCATAATAAGTTTTCAATGTTCGGCAACTCATGGTAAGAACTGTTAATAGAAATCCAAACATTTATCTTTCCAGGCATGAGGAAAATCAGCAATTACTCTCCAGATATGGAAAACATTATGCATCACCGCATGCCCTTGAGTGTTTTGAATAGATGATGTAGCAATTCTATCCGCATATAGCAATTCTATCTCAATGGAGATATATAAGAAAGGAGTCTGTGCAGATATGTTGTTTGATGATTTGATCTTTATAGGTGCATCCTTAGTTTTATTAACCTTGTAGTTGGGTAGCATTCCTACTCCCAAAACTAGAATATCTCCACGGCAATTCCTGTTGTGAATTCATCTTTTTTGTGCATCTGCACTCATGCTCCATTTTCCTTATTGTTGTGGTTATGGTAACGAATCACCTACCATCACATGTATATTGGTTCATTGCCTTTGGTTTGCTCATGGTGGACTAGGATGTGATTTCTTATCTCTTGTTTTCATGGAACTTGAGGAAATTAAGGGAGCAAACGCCATTTAATGCCTAGTCACCATGAGCACTCAGTGGGGATGTAGCCCATGGTAAATACACTGGCCTGCAGCGCATTAATCAACTCGTGGGTTACATGCTACACTTGCCAGTCCATGGATGTTCAAACCAATTCACTGAGAATTGCAAACTAGCTTTTGCTATGGAAGCAGGTCACATGAGAAACTTTAATTTCCTGTTTCTATTGCTAGGTTCCGCTTCATTTCTGTCAATGCCGCTCCAAAGTGCCTCACTGGGAAATCAACAAAACTGCCTGTTTGTTAATCACTATCTCAAGTTTCCTTAATGCTGTTAAGCTTGTGGAATGTATATAACCACACTTCCTTGTTGGTCAATCACTTACCATGCTAGACGAATTTTTTTTTAGTTTTTAAATTGTCGAAATAATCAAGAAAATTCTATAATAAGGAAGTTTGAATTGGGTACTTTAGTGAAGCGAAATACTCTCCTTAAGTAACTCATCATCATCAAAGCCTTTTCCCAACTAATTGGGGTCGACACTCTAATTAAGTAACTAAAATGTGAAAAGCTATGGACCTGATATTTGTTTGATGCATTGACATCATCGCAGGAATTGCTATGACGTGAATCATAATGCTATAGAATCCCTTTGAAAGTTCATCATAAGCTAAAAATGGCATTCTATTATACACTGCTTTAGTGGTAGAAAAGGGGGCAAAAATTGCTTTGAGAGTCTGACATAACTTTCACTCGTTGTAGGCATCACGTGACGCTTTATGTTCCAGAAGAGTCCTGATTAGGGTGTCTAACTTTGATCTTTAACTGCGTAGAAAATTTTATTGTGCTTCTGAAATTCTCAATTCTAGAGTAAGAAAGTTTAAAGTGAGACTCTACTTTTCACTGCTTGGGATAGACCTACGTAAAGGGCACTTTGTGAGATCACTTCTGCAATGGAGAAAAATGTCTTGACCTTTGAGCAGATGACGAAAAATCCTTAGAAAAGCTATTAATCAATGGAAATTTGCACGCAATTTTAACATACATTCCCATAGGAGCAGCTACAGTTCTGTTTATTTTATTGTTTAAGTTTCATAAGTTTGTCTGACATTCCTGCACTAATTAATTCCAGGATTTTCTGATATATTGTCTGTGGCATTCTGCGGTCCAGCATCACCTGAAACAATCACCATATAAGTCCAGATTGGTGATTGGTATTCAATAATCTTGTATTGAATTGTAGAATATTTGGGTTACAAAGGTCTAAGATATTTGGGCTTGAAGATCTGAAACTCCTATTTTCCAATGTTCTGAACCCTAATCTTGATGCCATTTCAAATTTCCAAAGGATAAACCTGAAGTATGATGACTACCTTGAGGCAGCCTTTCTCGTTATTTCTTATACTAGTTTTGTTGGAACAGTCCAGATGTGTAAAAGAATGTTACTAGTAAATGACAAACTACAACTGCACAAAGAAAACAAACTATTTCTGGTACAAACCTGTTCAACAATGCATAGGAAGTATTTTCGCGGTGTTCTTCTAATATTTTGTTTGGAACCTTATTTTTGGCTCTATATTATTTATATCCTTGAGTGTTTCGATGAACTTAATATTTATGATCACTTTTCATATGCTGAATGTTTTATTCTAGAGAAAGGGATGGAACAATGCCTTGATTAGTTGCCATTGCTTCGTTAAGAGGGAATTTTTTTACTTTTCTTATGTTTGGTGATTTCTGTTGTAGAGAAATAGTTATCTATTACATGTGCTCACATCAAAGTTTATGCTTGTTATTGTTTGCTGAAAAGCATCCTGTCTTCATTGCGATTGAAGCGTTTTTAACATTTCAGGTGATGAAGAAGACACATTATTATATAGTTGATACAAGTGTTGTCACTCCTGGAGCAGCAGTTTCTGAGTTGCAGTTCAACATTATAAAAGACGAGCCATTCGTTGTACATAATCTTGAGGTTATCTGTGAGGCTTATTTCTCTTGCTTGACTATGAAAAACTCCAGTATATTAGAATGTTGGATGCAACGTGATGGTGCTAAGTGATAGTTGTGCATTCCTAATCAGTTCATTTTTAAATCTGTTTTTTGCTACTATAGAGCTGTGTCAAAAAATGACCCGAAATATGTGATCCAGATGATACTGAAATGGTCACTGTCTTTTATATTATTTATGAATTGTGCTCACTCGGTCATTCTTTTTGTTTACATTATTTACATTGTATTTTATATTATTGGTCTAAGAAGGATGAGGGCCTTAAACTTGCCCTTAACCCGTCCCAAGCCCGGGTAAAGGAGGTTGGTTGTGTTAGGTAGGCAGCCAATGCAAAACTTTGTCTAAGCTTTCCATGAATCTTGAATCTACATTGTATTTAATATTGGCTTCAACTTTAAACATTTGAGTATCGATCATTTAATGAATGCAGTTTCTCCTTTGGCCAAAGCTAAATCCTTAAACATAACCAAAAACCTATCTTTATATACTATGATTAAGAAATATATATGATTGAGCATTTGATAGACATTATAATCTATGAAAATTACTATGCTGGTTTCAAATTTACCAACAAAATGTTAATGTTCTTCGTAAAAAAGTAAAACGAAAGTGAGGAAAGTACTCCAGTCATAAGACCAATTTACCCCATAAGTTCCAAGAAATGAAAAAAGTACCCCACCTCCCTTACACTTACCCCTACCATCTCTCTCCTCACTGCCTTCTTGCTACAGTCCTCTTACCTGCTACCAAATACAGGGGCCTCTCTCTCTCTTTCTCCCCCTCTCCTAAAAAAAAAGTCATATGCCTTAATGATAGAAAAAGTGAAGCCCCATTGTTGGTTACCTTTCTACGACCAGAAAGATAGAGGTGGACTGGATCTGCTGCAACCATGACCTCTTTCCCTCTTTTTTTTTTGTTATTTTGGAAAGCCCCCATGACCTGTATCTCTCTTTACACCCCAGAGTACAGGCAGGAAGCTGGGGTTTCTTGTCAATCTTCTGCCTCTCGATGTGGGTGGTTAGCCACTTTTGGTTGCCATCTTTTCTTTCTCGGCTTTGTACTTTGGCGTGTTTGTACTCGGCTAACTAGCTAGTGGCGAAATTGAACAACTGGAGGTTTTGTGGCAGTCACAGTTGGTTCCTGGCTAGGTTGGTGTAATCGGTAATCTTCTCAATGTGATTTTCGGCCATGTAAGCTGTGAGGTTTTGGACTCCTGGGACTCATTTTGATAGAAGTTAAAGCAGGAATTGATTGTGTCTGATTTGGGCAGCTGGGCACCATTTTTCCGGCAAGTAGTTGATCATGACATGGGATTGTGGAACATGCTGATTTACTGTACGCTGGGCCATTATCTTTGATGAGACCTACACTCCACTGGGTCTGTCATGGCTAGGAATATGGTTGCATCAGTTTTGCTGCTTTGTCTCACTTGGATGTTGCTGAGGTCTGGTTTTTTATCTGGAACAGTTTTTTGTAAATCTAATTTAATCTATTTAACCATCCACTCATCCTTTTTAAAACAGTGCACATGTTTCTTTTTTAATTTCTTGAAAACTAGTATTTGGCAAGGAAATTGGTGTTTCCTTATATTATGTTACTGCCAATCAAACATACTGTTCACAATGCAACTTGCTTGGGAAACCTTGTTGGGAATGCTTGATCCACAAGATTCTAAATGAACTCGTGAAGACATCCTTTTATTGAAAAGTCATTAGTTTCTTTCGACAAGTGTGTCATAAGTTTCAAGATTACCACTAGTGTGAAGTGCATACTTGGGTTAGTTAGTGATTATATGTGACCAGGCGTCGAATCTCAGCGCCTTGCTCCTCAGATTCCAAGTCTTTTTAAGTAGCTCGATTGTTGATCATCAATGGAGGTTGTGTGAATATGTGTTAGTAATGTTTTGAAGATGATCTTGGACATTTTTAAGTCTTTAGTAACAACCATTCAGCACTTATACAGGAATCTAATTGGCGTGTGTCAACTCTTGTTTTAGCTACTGCTTCCTGCTCTGGAGTCATTATTGTTTTAATGTAATTATTCATGGTGTTATATTTCAGTAAAAAATAGCGAAGATGAGGATATATGCCATTTATTGTAATTTAACATACATTTACATAAGGTGTAACTCATTAAATGTCTATTGCACACAATCAGCATATAAACAGAACAAAGATATTGGAAGAACCATAGGCCCAGTTTTACATGAAAATATTTAAGAAGCCACTTGTTCTTCTTAACGAAAGTATTTTGTTGAATCATATCACGCTGCAAATATCTCTTCTGTTTTTGAGAGTTGACTTGTCACACTGCAAATATTTTCTGAACTTGATGTCTATGTACCTTGATTTAGGTGACTCCTTTACCCGTATGGCATGGGAATGGTTATCACTCCCTTGGTTTTCGCTTTGGAAATATTTGCTACATTAGGTAAGGCAAGTAAATATGATTTAGGACTTGGGTCCGATTAATGCTTTTGAATGTATGATATCATTATTTTTTAGAGCTCTTATGGTTTTGTTGAGAAGATCTATTTTTGAATTACAGTGATGTTAGTGAGCTACCTGAGGAAACATATCCACTCCTCAATGACTGTGACTTGCTAATTCTGGTAACAAAGACTTGCATAATTGCTCTTAGGTTTTCTTAGTATGTAGTGAATGTAGTGAACATCATCAGTATGCCAAGTTACTTCCATTTCTAAAAGTACTGCAGGTTTTAGGTTATTCTCCTTTATTCTCTTCAAATACTTATTTCTTATAAATTTGTTTTTTCAGGATGCATTAAGACCTGATCGTTCATCTTCTACTCATTTTGGACTACCTAGGGTGAGTTTTTTTCGTGCAGTAGTCGACCTTTTCATGTCTTGGAATACGTTAGTTATGTCAATCCGTTACAATACCAGGCCTTAGAGGAAGTGCGGAAGATTCAACCAAGGAAAACACTTTTCACTGGTAATGTTGTACTTCTCCATCTTGTCACTTGTTGTTCATCATGGAGTTCCATAATAAGTGAATAATTAGTATCAATGTCTAGAAGGGATATTGCGCTGCCCAGACGGAGCCCTAGATTCCTCGGCAACCCAAATAGAGAGTGCAGGGGGTGGATCCTCTGGGCTTTGAGTTGGATAAACCACCACCACCCCCACCCCCACCCCCCCCTCCCAAAAAAAAACACACACACACAAAAAAAAGAAACAGAAAAGACACACACACACAAAAATTGAGCTTATATATATGTATATTTATGTGTATTTATTATGTATATGTGTGTGTGTGTGTGTGTGTGTATGTATCTATGTAAACTCTTGGCCCCTTTTGACTGTTATTATGTTGTGCTAATTTCAAACTCATACATGCATGAGGTTGAAACTTGAAATTAAATTGCTATCTTTAGAAGAATGAAACTTGCCCAAAAATTTTATATAATTGTCTAGATCACTAAATAGTTGCATAAACATCTGTTTGCATATCCCAATGTGTCATAGTCGACCAATACTCCATAATCCACATCGACCATCATACACTATAACAGAAAGTCATAAACGTCAAAACTCAAAATACTTTTAAGTGCATCCTCCTCCTCATCCTCCTTCCTCACTCTCCTCAACCGGTTTCCTTTGAGATTTGAGATCCAGTGGCCTGTTACAGGGCTCGATGGGGTTCCAACAGCCTCATGTACTTGGCTTCAGGTCAAGCTCTTTCTAGGGAATGCTTTATCATTTTCACCATCAAACAATCACTTGCTGGTATCATCCATTTTTCTCACAGTAAATGGGTAGACATTTTGTTCTTGATACCGCTCCATGTTCTGGTTATATTGCACCAAAACAAGGTTATTCATTCTCTCTTGCTTGAGTTTGTTTCTCTTCTTTATATGTATCTATTGGATACTGCTTGAATGTGCGATTATAACTTACAAATATATGATATAATAATTAATAAAATCAAAACTATAAAAGTTTCAAAGCAAAAACCCAAATATTTAACTTTATCAAAAAAAAAAAAAAACCCAAATATTTAAAAAAGTCACGTATGACACATCAAACAGTAAAAAGGAGTCAAAAAAATGAAAAGGGACAATAAGGTAGAAGCAAATTGCTTTCCCTTTTCCATTCTTAGGACAATTTATGGACTAATAACATAGAAAAGTCCTAGGATGCTTGAGTTTGTTGAAATTTTATTAAAGTCAAGTTACCCTATCTTAATTAAATGTCAAAAAACTCAAACTGAAACCCACTCTTAAATATGGGCCAAAAAAATCCAAAGTTGAATTAAAAAAGAAAAAAAAAAAAAAAAGAGGAAGAAGAAAACCCAATATTCACTAATATCACCAAACCCTAAGCCAAAAATTGAAATACACTAACCTTTCAAAGCTCAATCAAACTTGTCTTGAATTGGTGAACTATGGTTCCTCTTTTTTCGCTAATTCAAGTCTAAAAAAATCGCCTTCTATTCTTAATTTTTTGCATTAAATTGAAATTATCAAAAACCACGTCCTTCTTGAAAAATCTCAAAAATCTGTTGTTTTATGTAGATTTCTCTCTAAACACAAGCACAAGGGTTTTGGGGAGAACGCTGCTAAGAAAAAAACACTGCCAAAACCCGTTTCCTCCCCCCCTCTGAAAGAAAAGGAGGGGGGGAAAGGAAATAACCGTTTCTTCCCTTGCCCTAGGGTTTGTTTATGCCGTCGGCCATGGGCCATCGAGCTGCCCATCTAGGCACTGAAGCACTAGGTGGGTGTCTTTCCACATGGCCAAATTATTCGCCCGCCAAGGCTGGTTTGATTCAGAGGGGGACCTTGACTGCTTAGGCTGCGAGGTGCCAGAATTTTTGAACATTGATCAACATTTCTAATGCCACTTTTAAATTTTCTCCTTGTAAGTGTGGAAGCGTTTCTATATCTAGATAGTTAACTAAGAATTTTTGTTGTTTGCCTTGGCAATTTGGGTCAATGTTCCAATTCTAAGGATTTAAAGGAGTGAAATATCTCATTGGCTTGTATCTAATGTTTATGATCTCTCACATGTTTTGATGCCACTTTTGTTTTGGAAATTACCAAGGATATCTTTCTTTAATATTCTTCTTTATATATCTGCTCATGAAAGAAATGAATTAGGATATCATCTGAGACTGTTTTCACAATATACGTGGTATGGAGGACGCTTGGAATATTTTTTCTCATCAAACTTCATTCCATTACTTGGTTTTGCTACGTGGAACCCCATTCTGCTAAGTGAGCTATTGTTGATTTAATTTTGAGCCTGTTTGCATCATGTATAAATTGTAGATAGTGTGATGTTGTATGCATCTGGCTCATTACGCAGTATTTAGTGTGGTAAATTTATATACTGCAAATTGGTGACAGTTGTATTCTAGACAGGAGTTATTAAGGAAGGGGTAAAATTTTAGAAAGTGGTTTGCCCCCATCCCAAATGGGGTGGCTTGGTTTGATGACTAACATGTGTTGGATTTAGAGTTCGCCCCCTATGGGTAGAGAGACCTCCATGGACTTTCTGATATTCTTAGTGGTTAATAGAGAGAAGGACATCCATGGTATTGGCTGGACTTGTGCATGTTAGAAAGAAAAGAAAGGGATTCTATGTTATATGGATTTCCAATTGGGGATAAAATTGGCTAGAGGGAATATTTTCCATTATTAGAAAATAGCTCCTCTTTTGTATAGGATTCCCTCATGGGATATTCCTATAAAAAGGTGTCGAGGTGTGCACACGGATGCTAGGCATGCATGAATCGGGCGCAAAAGGGGCTTTTGAAGGGTTTGGGTACTGTCTGGACTGCGTGTTCAATCATGGTATTGGTGGTCCATGCGGCGCACTGGTGGTACATCAATGCCCAGTTCTGAGGCATTGCACATAGATGGTCCTATGAGACCACTGTGTGCAGGTGATCCTGCTTGACCACAATGCCCAGGTGGCCTCACTTGACCACAGAGCTTTGGTGTCCCATGGACCACTTAGACGAGTGGTCTCGCATGTGCACAAGGTCTAACGCCATCATAAAACGAAAAAAGAAAAAGATCGGTGGAGGCACATTTTTGCATGACAAAAGCCAGACTTGTGTGAATTGGCACCGGTGGACCTTGCACGTGGAGGGGCATGTGTGGTACCACACTTGTGGACTGGCACGTTTGGGACCACACACGTGGTATAGCACATGTTAGGCCGCACTGTTTTTTTGACATTGTGGCTGCGCAATATCTGCGCCTTTGCTTCTCTGGTGTTTTCAGCCACACAGAAACTGTGTTTGCAGCCGCACAGAAACTGTGCTGTCCCTCGGCCTTACTGGCATACTATGCGACCTCATATAAGTTGATTTAGATCCAAAATTTTCATAGGGCATAACTTTTCATCTGTGCATCCCTTTTTGACATATAATATATGTTTTTAGGGTGGCTTGCAAAGTAGAGTGCAACCGGCAGGGTCCAATGTGCTGATTGTGCTCCTATAACCCTTTCCAAAAAGTTTGAGATGTGGTTTTAGGATCCCCATTATATGCCATCAATGTTGGTAAATCGTAGGCAATCCGATTGTGTGTTGCTTTGGATAGTCACTACAATTAGTTTGCACTATATAGTGGGGTTTGCATTTGGGATGCAAGCACTCACTTGATGACGAGATTAGAAAGCCTTACTTCCAAGTCGTCTCAATGCTGATTAGTAGCTCTGGCCCCTTCTGGCTGCACAAAATTTTTCACTTTGGGTTGCTTTGGATGTATGACTGTTTTGATTCCTGAAGATTCAAGAGAATTCTAGGATTGATGATACACATGTGGATGAAGATGAAAACAAACCTAGATATCCATATAATTCACTGTAAATTTCTTTTTTATTTTCATGGACATAGACTGCTAGTGCATCAAAAGTTTTTGATTGTTGAAATCCTTAGAAGGGAAATGCTAGACGTTGGGAATTTTGATACATGTTTTCTAGTACCCAATTGATAAGCAAGCAATATTGGGGAGCCTGACCATTAACATACACCCCCCCTGAGGAAGGGTATACAATATCAGCTAGTCAAGAGATGGATAACTTGTCAAATGTGGATCAATAATGATCATTGTGCTCACTTTTATGATGAGTAGCATCTACAATGACTAAATGGATTTAGTTTGAAAGTTTTCCTATAGCCAGGGATATAAAACAAACCTTGCAATTCTAGTTTGCTGGTGCCTCAGCTTCCCCATTGTGCGCACTCATGTGAGCATTTAATGTATATGAAGTGCCACCACATGTCTCCACTATGGAGCATTTGAGAAAAATGTCATAGAAATCTGTGACATGATTGTTGCTGGCATCGTTTTAAGTGAAGCAATAGATACTGGTTGTGCGTTGGTCACTTTCTCATCTTGGGAATGGTGATACTGAGGATATGGAGCATCACTAATCTCAACATCTGGAGTTAGTGGCAAGGCGCTGCTATGTGAGCATTGTTGGAAAATCGCTTGTTCTAACCAGTAACCGCCCGGTTAGATTGGAACTAGGCGGTTCCGGTTTCGGCCTGTTTTGGTGACCGGTCGGGGTATTTAAAAACAAAATTATATAAAATCTCAAAAAACAAGGGATTTTTTTGTAATTTATTTTTAATGTTTTTCATCATTATTGCAAAAATCGGAAATTGTTTTGCCCATTAATATTTATTTTTACATTTTCCCATCTTTTTTAGAAACTTTCAAAAATACCCCTGGGCAGAAATCAATTCTTTAAAAGTCATTCTTTTCATTAATTTTCAACTTCATTTGGATGTGTTTTGTTCAATCATTCTTTAAATATAACCTTTCATATTTTAGTAGATTTTTTTGTATTTTTTGTATTTCTTAACGCTTTTTTGACCGCCCGAGTCTTGCCCGGTTAGAACGGTTGAACCGGCCGGTTTACCGGTAGGCCAGTTGAACCGCTTTCAGGCCCATATCTGGTTAACCGTTTGGGTTCAATT